AAATCATATGTTCAATGGTAAAATATAAAAGTTCATTCAATTATCTTTCAGAAAATATATACTTTTGTAGGGTTTTTATTTGATGCAAGTCCATAAATTTGATTTGTAAAGCATGTGCACGTTTTGGCTGACTGGCCCTGCCATTCCTGTTGAAGCGCGCTCATATGACCTTAGCAGTTGCGAGCGCCGTAAAACCTTATACTACTAACTAATTCCTGTTGAAACCACTTGCCAGAGTTAGGGTTAAAATACTTAAAATGGTTTAAAGTATAAAACTGTAAAAGTATTTTAAAATAATGAGATAAAAAATTATTTTTTTGCACTGAGTAAGCTTTTACTTTCTGTACTCTTATTGTCGAAATCATGCTGCTTCCCTTTTCTTTGAAATAAGGGTAAGGTTATTTGAGCTATAAAATCTTTTGTTTAGGACCTGGTCTCTGAATTGAATAACTGCAGTGATTTTATGATTCCCAGGTTTCAAGTTCTCCAGGGCATCTTATTTACTAAGTCTCATGCGACCTCAGATAATGAATGACCTGGAGTTGAAGGTAATTGAGATAAAACGTCATTTCTTTGAAACTCTTTGAAACAATCCTAAGCTGAAACATCTGTAGAATTCATTGTCCTTTTGAGAAATATTTGTGAGACCTTACCATGTAGTTTTGTCAGTGCTTCCAATCTTCCGTATTTTTTCGGAAATCCGTACTTTCTAACAGTTCCGTCCTTGCTCCCCCATAATTATCAACTCCATCCGTAAAAAAGTACGATGGCATAGGGCTACTAAAATTCCGTACTTGCCATCTTATCGTCTTGTATAAGTTACATAATAATGTTTATGGTAATTCTGTATATGTTATACAGGTTGATGTTTTAGGAACCTGACAGACCCGGGAGCATGAGGAAATCTTTGAACTGCCCCGAGAAAATATATAAAGTTTTTTAATTTTTGAAAACCAAATTGGATAGGTCAGTAAATTCATTTTTGCTGGGCACGATTGTGATGTTTGTTCGGCTTTTCCAGGTCCAAGAGTACGTTTCACACGAACAGGGGGCTATGACGGCAGGCGGAAGTGTATGTGGCACTAAGGCTCGATCGGGAAAATCAAGATTTACTTTCGCTTTTGTTACAGCCCAGAAATTTGCCGGTGATAGTATGATACAGCAGGTTTTGTGACATGTAGGTCGTGCATTATAAACGCTGTGTCGCCATGCAAATAAATGAAATCAATGTTTGTCACTGTGTTGTCACTTGTAAAATAAAGAAAAGAAAAGAAAAGAAAATACAAGTGTCGTCCGATTTCCAGCTTGTCGGGCTCGTCATCGTGACCAGTCAGTGAACCTGCGTTCATTCACATCACAGGCTACAGCATCGTGTGAGTGTGAGTGGCGGCGGTTGATGAAGTCGCTAAAGTTCATTCAAAATCTGAGCGTTGCGAAATATGACTCCAGAATGGTTGAATTATTGTTTTATAATATTTAAAATGTACACTCAGGGGTGCTGAAGGCAACTTGATAACAGGTTTTAGAATTTTGATTACAGTCTCTGCAAAGCACGCTTTGGTGCAGGCCTTGTGTGGAATCGGGATCCTTGTAAGCCTTGCTATTGAACTAAAGAGTTTGTGTTTCATTGGATGGGTGATTGTGATAGTAAATTATTACTATATTTTAGCTTTCTGTTCAAGATTGGCAGATTTTCAGTGTCACTGGATCTTGCCCTCCCTCAGTTCTTACAACTCTCACACTGATAGGTCTACTTGAACCATTCAAGTTATTACTCTATTTGAGTTTGAGCAATAATCTTGTTGTAAAAAAAAAGTGTTATCGGTTGTTGGTATTCACTTCAAACAGGCTCCCAAATGCCATTTTTAACCTTCTAAAAGCATTAAATTTCAATTTCTTCGGGGGGCTTCGCCCCCTGAATCCCCACCGGAATGCTGTCCCTGGACCCTGCTGGGGTCTTTTGTGGCCCCCAGACCCGCAGCAAAATTTTCCTTACCTTTCATCTCCGGCTGTTGGAAGCGCTGTTTTGTAAACCGTTCTCGGAGAGTGGTTAAGGTACTGCAATAGAACAGAGCTGAGCTCCAGGATTACATAATACATACGTATTCATATTATATTGGGGCTAGAGTGGGTTAACATGATTATATTGTTGTGAGACTCATGTTGGTAACAAGAGATGACACTAATACGGCACTCAGAGCCCCTTTTTAATGAAATAGCAAGACGTGAAAACAGATTACCGTACTGATCGAGTCAGATGACCGACACGCCAGCAATAATATCACTGGTACCAAGAACTTGACATTTTTTAAACTCATTTTACTTAGGTGTGGAGTGGCATTTTGGAAAATTTAGTTATATTACTGCACTTTAAGGCTGGAATACACACAGCAAGCCGGCAGAAATCAGTATTAACCTTTGAAATGATCATTTTACCTCAATTTGAAAACGCTCCCTATTTTTTCCTCATGTCAGGCTTGTTTGTGGAATTTGTTTTGGACTAGGAGAAAAATAATGGTGATTTTTTTACTGATATTGATATGTTGTGTTGTTTTTTCTTCAGAAATATGGCCTGAAAATATATTTCCGTAACCCAAGTTCATACACACCTTTGGCAGAACCAAGTGGTCTTGATGGAAAGGCTCGATCTTTAACACTTGGCAGAGACTCACAAGAAAATGCAAGGCAGATATCACAGTTTTCAAAAACAGATGCGGAGGTAATTGATACAGATACACAGGAGATAGCTTTAACTGTAATCCGCTGAACGATGACGTCTGATGATACACCCCCCCCCCCCCCCTGAAAAAAATCACCCTCTTGCCCCACATTGTAGCTAGAAAGGCGTTCATGGCGGAAATTTCTCTTACCCCCCCCCCAAAAAAGAAGGCCTTTGGGAATTCTTTAAACTTCACCTTCATGATAATTGGAACATGCACAGTGTGCCCACACACAAGGTGAAAGGTTACACACATAGTACTACGTCACCAGCCTCTCTCACTCCCTGTGGCACCGCTAGTGGCTTGAAACACTAATGACTAAACTAAGGGAGCCTAATGTCTGTCATGGCATGTGTAGGCTCCTTTATGAAAATGAAGTTTGTCCCCCCAAAACGCTTCAAGAAAACCTGTTTTTTTGCCGCTCCTGTAAAATTTGAAAAAAATGACTTACCATAGTTTACTTGGCCGCCCTCGAAATGACACATTTATGTGCCTCTGTCTCTTCTGTTTCATTTTCTTGGAATGCATAAGACTTGATAATTTGAATTACTTGTGCATAATTAAATGACGTAACCCTCAAAATTCTCTTTTGGTTTAGAAATATAGAAGCATTTGTACTATCTATAGTTTTTTTACAAAGAAAAGGAAAACGAAAATATGTGATTCCGCTTTCTTTCGGATTACTGCTACTTTCGGATTAACCATTTTCAGCTTAAATAATTTCCACTGTATAAGCTTTCATAATGATTGAGTTTGAGTGTATGTCAATTGTGTGATTGTAATATTTTGTTCTACAGTATCTGGCAATCATCGATAATCTGCAGATTTCTTAATTGAAATAGAAGAAATAAGGGTAAGATGACTTGTGGCTTTTGCTAATGCCAGTGAGACCATTTCTGTTGAGAAAAGTTTGCCATATTTTGAGCATTTTAAAGCTTCCTTTCCACTCATGAATGTGCCCAGTCTCAGGTTTCTCTCTTTGCTTAAGCATTTCCTATCTTTTTTTGTTGTTGTATAGTAGAGGGTTTTACGGCGCTCGCTACTGCATAAGGTCATATGAGCGCCAAGGGATGGGTGTCAACAGTGAAGTCTTTACAGGGAATCAGACTTATTCTGCTCACCTCTCTAGCTTCAACAGCGCAAGGTCTGCTTCGACTATCAAGGCACCCCGGAAATACCAAGTCACAAGAGAGTGACAAACATACAAAAGAAGTAGAGAAAAATGACAATAGTAAGGATTAAGAAAGAAAAAGCAGCAGTTCCCTGTTGTAGATCAGGCACAGTTATGGGCAAAACATGAATCAGCCCATTTACAATTCTACTGTGCTTGAACGAGAAATGTCCCCCCTTTGGGAATGGCCTAAGGATTTCCTATCTGAAAGCCTCATATGAATATATATGAATTTGTTAAGTTATGGCAATGTGTGGGATTGAAATGTACCCCTGGTAGGTTCTGCATTTAATGCGTGTTTTCTTAGATTTAAAAAAAATGTACTTACATCTTGAGTTCAAGACATTTTCATTTTAAGTCGAATTTCATATGATTCCTTCAGTTCAACAGTTTGATTGTCAGAAGAAAGACTCCACCACCTCACATACAAAATTCAACACTTTTTCAGCATTTGCCAATACTTATTCAGGTGTTCGTAAGTCACAGAATGAGATATCATCAATTCATATGTAGATTAAAGAGTAGTGGCTGATTGATTTGGGGTAATCACTTTACAATATATATTGGTTTTTAATCTTTATTTACTCTTTAAAATACAGATAATTTTGCGCTTGTCCTTTCACAGAGATTTGTTGAGTATGAAGAGCAGCTGGAGAGAATTGTCTCTGCTCTTGACCCTCTGCTTGACAGCCCTCCAGTGTCCATGTCTGCTCTTACCGGTTCTTCTCTGAGAGAGAAATGGAGCAGCCTTGGGTCTGTGAAAGCTTTACTTTCATCGGGTAAGCCTTTTCCTCTTTCTAAATCCCTCAGTGGTAATAAGTGATAAATGAAGAGCACCAAAAGATCAAAGGACCATAGTTACTGACTAATGTTTCTCTTTTTCCATTGCATTGAGAGTGACAGATTTAAAGTCAAACTTTTTCCAGATTCCTGAGCACTGGTGACAACCATTATTTTCTTTTGTTGATTAACTTTAAGAATATTTATTATTAAGTCCTGTTTGTGACCTGAAAGATATGTTTGCCTTATGGGAAGGGATCAGCTGTTACAGGAGAATGAATTTATAATTTAAAGAAACAAGGAGCGTCACTTCAGAGCATTGATTGTAAAGCCCATCATTAATCTGTCTTTTCAGTACGATCACTTGGAAAAGATGTCCCTGCATTTTATGAATTAATGACTGCTCCAGCCCAGAAGGTAATATGTCACACCATTCGTGTAATTCTGAAAGCAGTTGGGTTTGAAAATGTTAGTTAATATATGTATAACACAGAAGTCTTAGATATTCCATTCTTTGTCTTTGTATTGATTTTTACTATGTCTTTGTATACCAACCAAGAGATTACTTTTATGCCATGCTGTGGCAAAATTTCTGGATGTTGATTGTTATGAAAAGCATTTGCTTTCATATATTACTAATTCACTCATTCAAATGAAATAGTCTTACCTTTTAAGGAGAAGTAATCTTAGAAAGTTAGGAAAAACAGTTGCATTGATGGTTTTGGGTCAGCTAGTTTGAACAGGTGTTGAAAGTGGTTGCATTATTCTAGCTTCTGCTTTCTTGTCTTTACTGTAAGTGTAATGGTGACCAAGCTTTCCCTTAAGAGTCTTTCCTGAATGATAAACACCTCTACGTGAAACTACGGTCTTTGCTTTTCACCAAGGAATTGTTTTTGTACATTTTTTGTGAAAGTAAACTTGGTCCCCCCTTTTTTTTGTGAAAGTTAACTTGCCCCCCACCCCCATTTAGAACTTACTTAATCAGTTATGTAGGCTTACATCAAAATTTGTCCATTGCCTCCTCTCACACATGTGGGGATCGGCATCTGTGCTGTAGCAGTTAGGCGCTTCGCTGTCACGTACAGATCCGAGTTAAATTTTCAGGTTGAGAGAAAAATTTATTGATTATCTCAGTCTTTCTACTGGGATGTTGTATCTCTCTCAGACGGTGTTGGCCCGGACAGGCAGGGTTAGAAGTCTACCCCTGAAATGATCTAAATTGTTTCGATAGGGGTTTACTTTAGGGAAATACCCAGATGTCAGGACTAGAAATAATATGGTATGAAATTGAGTGCTGAGCATTTCATGGATATGTTGAGAAAATAATTGTGAAAAATTAAGAAAACTTTCAAATCTCATTTAAATCGTGTAATGTGACTTTGATGCTTCTTGAAACTTAAAATGTGAAGACCAGAAACTATTGAAAATAACTCTTTGCCATTTGTGAAATCATGCTATAATGGCATCATGAAAAGTTTTATATTTACACATTTTACATTCCTATATCCTGTCTAATACTCATTCTTGGATTTGTCCCAGCATAAGAACATGTGAGTTTTTATTATTGGTTTTCCAAGCTTACATCAAATCATTGCTTTGTGTTTTGAATGTTTTATTTATTCAGAATGCTCTTACTGTAGACACGATAATTAATTTATATTTGAAAGCTCAAATCACTGTAAAATTTGTATACCTTTAGTAATTCCAGAAACAGATTTATCCCCCGTAGTTTTTTTAACAATGCTTCATGAACCAATTGCCAAATGTTTGAGTAGCTTCAATGTATTGAAGACTAACATGGCCCCTTAAAAAAAATTCTAGCTTACTGGCTTACACAGGTCTCTTCATTATCTATGTGGCATTGCGGTGAAATTGGCGATTGTCAAAATAGGGAAATCAAAGAAATCGACTTTTTCCTGCCTATAAATTTACAGTTTCCATTGTCATTCAAACTTTTGGAATGCTCTAAACTTTGGCGCCCATTCTCTCGCTTATCTTACCTCTCACACCAGATGACACACATCTCCTTCAATCACAGATCTCTACTCCTATTCAAGATAGATAGAGGAATTTTTAAAATTTTTTTATGTAAAGCAAGACAAGTTAACAAGCTTTTAAAAAGATACCAATAATCAATACACATGTACCAAAAAACCTGAAGTGAGCCTGATTCTGCTGTGTCATGGCATGTCTCTGCTTACTCTGACAGAGGAATTTTTCTGATAAATTAGAAATGTTTGTTTGGCTAGAGCTGTCATCTTTTTTATTTTGGGTGATTTAAATCTAATACAATGGTCTCCGGGTATAAGCATGATCCTCCTCAATGGAGTTTGGCAACATGGAACCAAATTTTTTCTTACATAATTATCACTCCTAAGTGCACATTCCAAATTGTCAACCCCATCTAATGACATGACCATCCCTGTCCTTATGTCAGAAACAAATCAACCAGAAAAATGTCTCATTTGGAACTGATGAAAGCAAAGCAATCTCCACTTGCCCTCATTTGTTACTTTTAATTAGGGCTTTGCCGAGGAGAATAAAAACATACGGACACGGCATTAGCCAGAATAGAGCAATGAGACGGACAGAGCTGGTAGTAACGGAGTACAAGTACTCCGGTACTTGTACTTACGTTACAATTTTCGGTACTTTTACTGTACTCCGGTACATTTTTGAAACCAGTACTTTTACTGTACTCCGATACTTTTTATAAAAGTACTTTTGAGTACTTTTTAAGTACATTTTGAGTACTTTGGTAGCTTAATGAAAGGGTAAGTGCAGGCATTTCTGATAATAATTTACGGAACAAAAACCCGATCAACCGCCAAGAGTTAAAAGTTGAGATCAAAGAACGGCCCATCACCTCAAAGATCAGCCACTATCGTGAATGTGATCACAAGCGTTGTAAAACTCCTTGAAACGGTACAGTGTTTGCTCCAGACGGGATCACACCAAGGTGTGAACTGACCGATGCGTTTCTTTTCCCCAAACATCGCACTCGCATCTGACCTCACCACCTAAACTTACATCACTCCCTGGGTGGGTAGGGCCTACAAGTTCGCTCCAGGCGGGATCACATCAAACTGTGAACTCTTCCCTGACCATTGAAAGCAGTTTTTCCGGAATTTGCGAGACAACCTGAATTTTAATTAGTGTGGTCACATCGTAATGGTGCGTAACGACAAAGGAGGTGGGGGGGGGGGGGACTCGATCAGAGATGGAAAGCTAAAATTGTTAGACAGGTAAAGGGGAGGGGCAACTGGATAAAAATAGATAAAGATCTCAAGACTCACGATAGGCTAATGAGTGTGTATATATAATATTATTTATGGCATGCCTCATGCCACTGTGATTGGCAATCAAGGTTGACCACTCTTTGCTTGCCATATGTCATAAATCCACCCAGGGGTCACGTCAGTTCATGGGTCACTGTAGATTCTTCCTTGGCTTCATTGGCTAAGATCCCATATTTTCCTTGCTTCCGAGCACTGGGATCTTAGGCGGAGACTACTGCAGTAGAGAATCTTTGGTTACACTACACTTACTAGACTCTAGGAAACTATTGTATTTTGGTTTGCCGTTGGCGCCGTGGACTACACAGTGTGACCAAAATCTGTCAGACCACTATAATCAATTGAAACTGAAACTTGTGTTCTCAATGTGTATCTAACAATTTTTAGGCTGCCTAAATTTCTTTCAAACTTTTTTTGGGTGGTTTTTGCTTAAGGCTACATTGATTCCTTGAGGATTTGTTAATGAAGAATTCAATGCACTTTTCCATTTCTATGCGGGCCATTTTCATCAATTTTATGTTTTCTTACGAGCAACTTTGTATCTACATTTTTCAATTTGGATACTCTTTCTGTAGAACTTTCCAACTTCTAGGACTGACTTACATTTGATCACATTGTCTTGCTCAAACAAGTTCTATTCATAATAGCACTTACCCACTAGTTGCGTCTGTTCGTTTGGGTTGTTTTTTGTTCAACTTCACGGACCATTTCCACCGTTCAGTGCGTACATTGTATATTCAAATGCTTTGTATACTGTTTACATTTTTAGTAATAAATAGCCTAATTTGTCAAATATACTGGATAAGTTATAAAATATGATGTTTTGCATAAGCGCTGAAGTATTTTAGCATATTAGCAGAAAGTACTCAAAATGTACTCGTAAGTACTTTTTTTAAAAGTACTTGTACTCAAGTACATCTTATAGGAAAGTACTTTTACTGTACTTAAGTACATTTTTTAGATTGTACTTAAATTTGTACTTAAGTACTTTTTTAAAAGTACTTTAACAGCTCTGGAGACGGATAATGTTAGAGGCCCGTGCCATAATTATGACAGTCACTGTCTATGGTAGCTCAGTATTGGAAAACTTCACACATTGGGGAGAACTCAGCTCAACGACGCAACCTACTGCAAGAAATGAGGTGAGAGGTTGTTCACAACATTCAATGAGATTCGACAGAATATATTTACTCTAGATTTCTCCCCTTCGAATTTCATTTTAAAGCTTGTTCACACAAGAGCATGTTTTCATAAAAGCATGCTTTTCTTTTCACGTGAGGTGTGTGCTAATTAGCCGGAGACCACTGTACCAAAGAGGACATATGCTTGATTATTAGTTTTAAGTCTGCTTAAATAATCAATATTTTTGTATTGTTAGTAATATCCGTCTAACCCAAATGAAAACTTAAGAAATGTCCTCTTTGTCCATACTTGGCTATTTATTTTAAAAGATAAACTTTAACCTTTTTACAATATAATGTTTTCATATAATGCTTAAATTTATGTACAGTGAAATTGAAGAAGTTCTGTTCATTGTCTTTTTCATAGGAATGCAAAGCTTTTGTTTTCACATTTCATGTCAAAAATTTTAACGAACTAACATTTTTTTGCTACTGATGATGGCACCTACAGGAAGTCTTTTTTTTTCATGAAGTTGCACAATTGCTCCGATGAAGGAAATTCCTGCTTTTTCTCTAATCAGTAAAGCTTTCAGTAGGCTTGTAGATACTATTGTCCAGTATATCGTATTTAAAAATATATTGCCTCTATTTTTCGGTTAAAAATTGTCTTCCCCTGTGCCTTTTGTTGAAGTTTTGCTTTGCTTCAGTCCTTTTAAGCTTATTAATGGTATGCAGCATGGAATGAGTATGATTTCAAGAGTCTACTCCCATGCATGTATAATGTTGGGACTGTGTGCTTTTTGCTGCTGCATTTTGTTCTTTATTGTTTACATTAGTTTTTTTATTTTTTGTAGTAGTTTTTCACTTTGTTCGTTGGTTGTTTTTTTTGGTTGTTGTTGGTTTTGTTTTGTTTGTTTTTTAGTTATTGGTTGGGGGTTGG